GGCCGCGCCACATTTGTTTACGCGGCCGCTTTCGAAATCGTTTCTGTGAAATGGCGCAAGGTAGAAGCAGAGCCCGCTCCCCCTCCCTGGGGCGGGGGCCGCCCCGGTACCTATAATAGCCCCGCGGCCTGGCGTCCGGCGAAGCGGCGACGGCGACCTAGCGACAGGGCTGGCAGGGGTGGGGTGGGCGCAGCGCAGGCTCAGACAACCGCTGAGGAAGCTGTAAGTACCGACAGCGCTGTCTGCGGCCGGATCGCTTCTGCTAGCAACTTGGCGTCGGCCCGCCCAGCTTCTTCCGGCGCCTGAGCCTCACCAGTTAGGCAAATTATGGGTTTCCTCCTGAAGTTTCAGTAAAACCTTTATATGCTGCGCAAAACTCTGATCTTGTAGAGTAAGGGTTATGTACTGCCCTTAGTTCTTAGGATAGGAATGTTTCATTGAAGTTGTAGCTTTATACTGAAGCTTTGCTCAAAGAGTTGGTGTTCTTTCTCCCCTGGGAGGAATTCTGCAAGAAAGTGGTAACATAATGGCATTTTTGTCTGAAATTTAGCACAAGATAATTTACTGAAGAGATACAAATGTCTTTTTATTGGAAAGACTAGCAAGCAATTTTCTGTGTCTTACTAAATGCTTTGGACAAGTGTTGCATATTGCTCAAGATGAACTTAAACTGGCCTTTACAGAATAACATGCTGAAATTAAGATGTTGGGATGATACTACCAGATGGCATGAGCGGTAGATATCCCTGTGAGATTATTTGATTTGAATGTTTATCTCTCTTTACGGAAAGAATGAATAAGCTACATCTGCTTTAAGCAATGCTGTGATTTCAGTTTAACTTGTTACTGGTCCTGGGTTTCCATTGTTGGTTTGTTTTCTTTCTTTTTCAGATAACACCGTGTTATGAGAATTATTTATTGAAATGTATTTTCTGGAGTGAAGTAGACAAGCAACATAGTAAAGGTGTAATTATTTATAAGTTATGACAGTTCATTTATCTTTAGACGCATATTTGTTCTTTGTGATTAACCCAAAAAGTCTTTGGTGGAAGCAAAGAAACAAATACCTGTGTTTGTATAGACCTAAAGTCTACTGGAGGATAAATCATGCCATTCACCCGAGAGTTTTTCATACAAGCGAGCCTTGGTGTAAATGGGCCAGAAGCAGAACATTTTGGTGTAACAAATACATTTACAGCCATGACTTTTTATATTATCGAGTTTCTAAACTTTTAACTTCTTCTTCCAAAGGACTTGCAAAAGTGAACAATCGCATGTCACGAATTAAGAATACTATAGAATCTGTTTCAAAGGCAGTGTCTGGGACTCACAGTGAACTGGTTTCACGGATAGCTCGATTAAAGTCACACTCGGGTACTTCGGGAAAAGCAAATAAAAGTAATGCAGATGCAAATAGCATCCACGAAGATCTAGAAAATGATAAACAAATCACAGATGCCAGAACTCAAGAGGATTGCAACAGAAGCCCAGCTGCAAAGATAACCACTTCTGCAAATGAAAACTGTGAGTCTATGTTAGTAAGTTCAAGTGGCGCTAATCAAGATATTCCAGAAGATTCAGCATCTACTAAAAACCACCTTTTTCATATAAGCTACTTTTCTACAAATTTTGGAGAGACTTACAACTTCGTAGCTGATCATATCAACTGGTACTTTAACAATAATTCTGTTATGAATCAAGGGAAAAAAGGGAATGCTTTATTACAGAACTCTGAAAGTGAAGAGAGGAATAAGCTTGATTCATCAGAAAATACTGTAATGAGGGAAGAAAAGACAGAGGCTTCAGCAGCTACTTTAGCTCCTGAAGCAGAGACTCTGAGTCCTGAAAAGATAAATACTGCTCTTCCAGTCTCCACTAAAAAAAGCATTGCAAACTTTCTTTCATATCCCAGTAACAGTGTACAAGCTTTTGTAGACAGTTACATTGGTGGGTTGGTGCCCAAGCTAAGATCTGATACAAAAGTTGTTTCACAAGAGAAGAGTAAACAGCCAGAGCACGAAATGTCTGAGAAAGATGAGGATGACAGTGCAAAAGAGGCAAAGACTGCAGAAGAGAAGGAAAAGCGCCTGTCTCTTCAGAGAGAAAAGGCAAGTCTTGTTTAGTGTTTATTTCTTTATTGCTACAAGTGTGTGTGTGTATATATATATATATATATAAAATTGTATGTATACACTATGCACACAGGTGTATGCCTGTATGTAAACTTGCATATGCCTATATACACTCATATACTTAAATAAGTCTATACCTAGGTATGTACTTACATAAAAGTCCGGGTATATGTGCCCATACATTTATTTGTGTACATACGTGTAAGTACATATGTTATATGTACTTACATAAATAAGTATATATATAAACCTGGTTAAAATCTATGTAGACTTATAACTTTCATATAGTGTGTGTGTCTGTGTATATATATATATATATGTAAACATACATATATGTACCTATAAATAAGTATATAGGCATATGTATTAGTTTATAAAAATGTGTATATGGTTTTTCTGTAAGTATATATCAGGACACGGTTTAGCAGCCGTGGTGGTGTTCAGTTGACAGTTGGACTTGATGATCTTAGAAGTCTCTTCCAACCTTTATGATTCTGTGTAAGATTATATATAAAGCATATACTATACATATGTATGTGTATATACATATATACATATATTTAGTTCGTCTATATGTAGAGAGATCTAATTATTTGGGGGTTTTTTGTTGTAGTTATGGTAATCTTGCACTTCTTAATGGTCCAAATACCATTTCAGACTTACCCTGAAAATACGTCTGAGTACATGCTGACACGTTTGTTTGGTGTTTTGTTGCTGTGATCTGCTTTTTTTTATCTTTCTAGTAAACAAATAATGAAAAGGTTGCTTGTTTACATTTGCTTACTGGGAGCCTGTAGCAGATCTCTGGTACAATGTGCTGTCCATTACTTCTGAGAAAAATCTTAAAATAAGAGTTTGGAATTAGTCTTGACAAACCGTACACATTCCTTAGAGTAGTTTTATCTTCTTTGTATAACTTTATCTTTTTTCAGATTATCGCAAGAGTGAGTATTGATAACAGGACTCGAGCTTTAGTTCAAGCCCTAAGAAGATCCTCTAATCGAAGAGTCTGTATCAGCAGGGTTGAAGAACTGACCTATCATCTTCTAGAATTTCCAGAGAGCAGAGGAGTTGCAATTAAGGTGCAAATACTCTTTATGCTTAGACAAAAAATAAATATTTGACAGATGATTGACACAGAATAACATAAAACTTTCTTCTGTGCTTTTGTGGGCTGGTCGTATTTTCTATTTGTAAAGATTACAATGTGAATGTCTCCTTTTATAGCTATTTTTTAGCTGATTCAAGCAGATTTGCATGTAAACTATCAGTAGTTTAGCTTAAGCCTTTTAAAATTGCAGTGTTTAATTTAGAAGCATACAGCATTGTCATGTGGATAGATAGTATAGCTTATTCTAGTGACAGACGAAGGTCGTACACTGTGTCCTCTGTCGCAATTGACCAGCCAAGAATGTACAGTACAGTTGATCTGCATACGCACAACAGTGTTTATGCTTGTTTGCATACTGCCTTTGAAGAGAGATGACACGAGTGGAGTGTAACCATCAAATGAGTTCATGTAATCTAGTCCTACTCGTTCTCTTCCCTGCAGTGAGAGGACAGGAGGTGGGTGGTAGACTATTTTAGCAGTACTAGCTGAATCACAGCATTTGTCAGTCTCATGCCTGTTTGCACAAGGTGTGACACATGTGTGACGTAGATTGTAGAATTGCTGGAAAAGAGATCTTTGGGAATGGAGCGCAGGCCAGATGGATCAACTGGACAGGGTACAGGTCAGGCATCCACATGAGTAGATGTGAATTACTTTATTATGGAAGAGTGCATTCACTACTCCTATTTTGATTATAATGCAATTATTATCACAAAGATACAGAGTAAATTTAAAAGTTGCTCGGTGTGAGGAAGAACTTCAATTTTTGTTTTGTTTCAGTATTAGTGTACTCAGAAGGCATTTGCTGATTTGAAGCAGTGTGATACCTATTCAGCAAAGTCCGGGCTTTTAGGTATACTTGGTGTGCTCCATGCTTGAGTATATATTTGACCCATGTGACATTAAAGTCAGTAAAATTGTACTGCTGGTAAATACAGCTTTTCTAGTGATTCAAAATATTTACATTTCACCTTGATTCTTTAATTCCAAAAGGTAGTTACTTTAGCAGTGGGGAGTGTATGACATAATATTGGAGTCCTTTCTTTCCCATGTTAGAGAGATAGGTAAATACAGGTTTCAAGGAGTTTTCCTCTGAGTTTATCTGATATGTTACTTTTATACTTAAATGACAAATTAGTAAATTTGAGCATGGATTGTTTTGGTATAAACATAATTAGAATGAAATATCTTTGTATTTATCATAGGAAAAAATAATCCCATGCCTGCTGCGACTGAGACAGGCAAATGATGAAAGTCTTCAGGCTGCTGTTAGAGAGACTTTAGCTATAATTGGATATACAGACCCTGTGAAGGGATGGGGAATTCGAGTCCTCGCTATTGATGGAGGAGGAACAAGGTAAAACCTCTAGGGTTTTCATATACTTTTAGCCTTTTTCGTACTGTACCTGTTCATAAAATTTCAGTTTCTCTTTGATAAGTTTGTGCTCAAAGATGCAATTTATGATTCACAGTTCTGTTACATTGGACTATGCAAGCGATGGGTATAATTTTTGTATGCATTTGTACTTAAATTTCTATGCATTAGTACTCCTATGACACAGAAATTACTTACCTATTTAAAGTTGGCCACACACTTAAGTGCTTGATTTGGCTCCTTCTCCTTTTGGAAGTAAATTAAATGCTTATTTGAGTTTGTCTGCTCACAAGTCTAATCTCAGAACTACAGGATTGGTGTGAAATGCTGGAGGTAGTTTATTCTCTTACGATTGTGTTGACTTAGAACAACATTTTTTTGTATTACTTCTCTGGAGGGTGACCTGCTTTAGCAGGACTAGTCTCAAATGACAGAATGAATAGGCTAGTGGTGAAAGCTGTTCTAGCCATGCTGCTGATTTTATGTCTCTCCTAAAACTAACACTTTTTTTCTTTAATTTATGCACCACATGTCCTTAGTTATGTTTGTTCTAGTTCTGCATGAGTTTATGCACCTAGCACAATTTGTAAAGAGTAGTAGCAGAAGCATGTTCATTGAATTTGAAGTCCGATGTTTACTAAAAGCTGTGTTTTCAGCTGTATTTGAAGAAATCCTGTTGGCAAATACTTACTGATTCACAAGTCTTTATTGGTAGAAAGTATGAAATCACTGCAGAAATACAGTTTCACAAACTTCATGTTTCCCCATAGTATTCCTTTACTTGCATCAAAATCAGTTGTCTTCAATAAAGAGTAAGTGTATGTCCTGACTTCAAGATTTTTGTCTCCAAAAGTTCCAGTGAACTTATATTTGTGTTTCCAAAACTTCCAATAAACCACAAAGATTTTACAAAGTAGAAAGAAGGATGTCATATATAT